CCACATGACTTCCTTGTACGGAATATTAAATTATACGCATTTTTTCTTGTATTTCATTTAAACTTATTGGATTGAATTAAATCTAGTTCGCCGACAGCGCATAAACCACAATAGAATACATGCATTCTTTAAAATTCACTCTATTTGTTTACCATAGCGATACTCTGGCGCTAGATTCACTTAACACTATTATATTTCGTTCATATTATAACTCATAATGCACAAAATTTATATCATTTAAAGAATAGAATTACCTAATCGTTGCCACATGTTTTATTCAAATACTATAATATAGCTAGAACGATGTATAAAAGAAATTAAGCAAACAAAACAAAAAAGAAACAGCTTTTCACAGACGATTGAGTACCTTCTCATTAATTAATTCAGTTCTCACTTCGCGAACAAGGCAAAAATACATAAAAAAAAAATAAAAAGTCAAAATATCTGTGTATTAAAAAATTACGAAATAAATCTTAAACACTTATTTCCTCGAAAAAATTCCAGAAAGGATTAAGCATGATTTAATTGGCAATAATAAATGAAGGCGTAATCTTTGTTGTTGCGAAGCTACGTTTCTCTGGATTGGCAGCAAATCCACTAGTCTGCTGTTTCAAATGTAAACAAGCAATGGCCTCCATCAAAAACATTATTAGGCTTAGCGGCACTTAAACAACTTTAAAATTGTTGATAATTCTAAAAATATTGCATACAGATTTACTAAAGGCATAAAAACCTTAACCGGAAGATAAGAACAACATAATTCAATCATTTTTAAAGCAAAAAATGTACAATTTAGAAACATATAAGAGTAAAGAAACTGAGATCACTGAGCCGGGTAACAGAGTGGATATACGTTTGGTGCTGCCGATTGCAACCAAAATACGACGGGCACATCTACATGTTATAGCAGTCCTATATGCAAAATTTCAACGTTCTGAGGCTACTCGTTTTTGAGTTATGCGAGATACGTACGTACGCACGTACGTACATACGTTCGTACCGACGCCACGAAAAATTCTCTTCAGAATTCATTTTAAAGGAGTTTTATAATTTTTTTGGACGAAAAGAGTTTTTTTATCCTGTCCTTACGTACAGTTATCACGTAGAAACATCGTTAATTTCATTCGATAGCGGTCAGAATGGATATTTTCGTTGAAATATGCTGCCTGAAACTTTTCGCGGTTACAATACTTCCTTTTTACTTCGTACAAGGAAGTAAAAACACACACGTAGAATCGAATCGTTGCTTGTAACAGAAGAAATATCTTCAAAACCGTAATTATAAAAATAATTTTATAAAAACTGAAAAACTGATTTTCAGAACTACATAATTGGTTAATTGTAATATTAGTTTTTAATTATATATACATATATGAGAGATTATAATATATAAGAAAAGTCGTGTATACACAAGTGAACTTGGTAAATACGCAAGTGAAATTTGTGCTAGAGACTCTTCCATCGAAGAAGTGGAGAAAAGTGATAAAAATGCGAAGTCCTAACTGATGATGATTAAATACGCAACGACTGTATGAATACTTCTTTCTTTTAACGTACCGAATCAAAAGATGGATTTATAAGATCACTAATTCGTGTAGGGAAAACTTCTTCCAATCATAGTTTCTGCAATTTTAAGACTGAACAATTTTAAATGATCAAATAGAAGCTCTACGTGCAGAAAAAGCAACTGTAAATCTTAAAGCAGAATCTGATTATAAAAGTTTTCAGGGAAGCAGAATTTCACATTATTACCGCTTTCTTTTATGCTAGAGCATGGGTGGGCATTAAGTCGATCACGATTGATCGGTGGACCACCAAGACATTTTAGGGTGATGGCCTTTACTAACACCTAAAACGCGCATACTAAAAGAAACATATATATGGAACACCGATTCCAGCTAGACTGGGGAATCGGCTCTTCGCTATCGATGCGAAAGTGTTTGCTTAAGTAAATGATCCAAAGAATGTGTAGACAACACACTTTACCTTCACTGGAAGCACGCACGATGACGCTTAAGTATATATACGTTGGTTACAGATTCATCGGTTCACGTATGTTCGTTTAAAACGAAGCTACATTAAACAAAGAGAAATATTACGATGCAATAATAAAATTTCACTCCAAATTTGAGACATGTTTTCAAGAATTTACTAGACTAGAACCAATTGTTTTATTCATGTGTTACCCACTTGGCAGTGTTGATGTGGAAGAACTGAAAATATAAATTAAATTTTTTCTCTTGAGAAAAACTAAATTTTTCTCCTTCAGAATAACATAATTTTAAAAGCATATACTTCAGAACCTATTAAAAAATACTGAACTAGACAAAGTAAAGTATCATAATTTTTTTAAAAAAGTTTCATTTCATTTAACACCGTCTTTGTCTCTATCTACCTGTGTGAATCTGTGTTTCCAACGATAAATATAATTAAGACAACATATTGTTCCCGCCTCACAGACGACCAATTAGAATCCAGTGGATGGTGTGTGTGTGGTGTATTTAATTATGGCAAAGCACACTATAGGGCTATCTGCCTAAGGGGAGGAATGCCTTCGTGGAGGACTAAGGGAAATTGGCTCGTATACACGTTACATATGGGGAAAATCTCGAAAACACCCATGCAGCCAGCCCGTTCGCGGGATTCGAATCTCGGACAGAACTACCAGTGTTCAGCGACTTTACCGCTCGGCCGCTGGTGGGCCTTAGAATCCAGTGGAAGATGAGCAGTTAGCAATTATATACCGAAATATGCAGACTAAATCTTCTACTAACTATAACTACAAGACTAACTTTAGATGAAAATGATTTATTTTTTAATGTATTTTGAATTGTTTGATAAGAAATGTATCATTTGAAATAATTATATTTGTGGCTGCTATTATTACACTTGTATCTTGCGTTTGCTTTAAACGCGTTTTTAACAGTGTAAGTTTTTTAGATAGGGTCAGGTAGGTAAGTACATATATTCCGTATTTATTATTTAAGTTGCCCACCAGCAGCCGAGCGGTAAAATCGCTGAACACTGGTAATTCGGTCCGAGTTTCAAATCCCGCGAACGGGCTGGCTGCATGGGCGTTTTCGTGTTTTTCCCCATGTGTAACGTGCATACGAGCCAGTTTCACTTAGAAAGTCCTCCACGAAGGCATCCCTCCCTTTAGGCAGATAGCCCTCGAGGCTTTGCCATAATTACACACACATTATTATTAAGTTATAATAAATATTCTAAACCTCTTTTGTAGTTCACCACTCCTATGCCATTGAATAGAACGCAACACTTTGAAAAAATTAGAAGTAGCCCGTCTCCTGGAAAAATCTGCCCACGTCTGTGCTAGAGGAATCTAGTACCACTCCCCGCCCTCTTAAAAAACAAACTCATAATGGCGGTCATAAAAAACTCACGAAAACACAAATCTTGAATTATATCAAACAGATAATACTAGAAAAGAAATTCCAGTAAAAACTGTTCGGCAATCAATTAAAAAAAAACAAATCGGAGAAAAGTTATTTCCTATTTTGAGACTGAATGCAATGAAAAACTGACTGAAGGCATTAAGACTAAATGCAATGAAAAAGGCAAGCAATTGCCTGCCTTAAAAGCACAGTAAGGCCCATTCTCACCATAAACGCCACTATCTTAAGCGTGTTCAATCACCTGATAAAAAACTTGTGAAAAAGATAAAAATATTCCTGGATGGTGTGTTCTCTGCGGAGCGGGGGGGGATGATCTCCTGCAGAAGGTGTCCACGGTAACAGAAAAATTAAAAACGATAAGAAAAAATTCCTGAACTTTCACCCAAAAATAATGAGTATTTTCCAACTCTGAGTTGCGTTTGAAGTCTCGTGTTTTGTCAAACAGTAGAATTGTTATGTAGTTAATGATTTGAAGATTAAGATAGTCTATGATATTTTGTGAATGATTAGTTTTATTAAGAGTAAGGCATTTTGGATAAATCTATGAGTTTTCAATCTTATTAAAATTATTAAATGTAATAAGATCACCTATATATCTATAAGTGTGATCATCTATATATCGTAGTAATTTAAATCTTGTTGTTGTAATATTTTTGAAAGGCAAATTCTTTGATGAATAAAGAGGTATTACAGACGGAAGTGCTCGAATGTGCGCTCATTGGGATACCTCCGACTTGCTTTAAAAGTTGATTTTGAAATTTAATGTAGTTATGAAAATTGGTGAATTTGAGGTAGGTTTTCCATTTATTAATGTTCATAATTGTGAGCATAGCAGGAGAGAGTTTAGACAGATCTAGTAGACTAGCACAGATTTCTTCTAATGGAAGTGATGTATATAAGTTCTCAAAGTCATAGCAGTTAATGTTATTAATGTTCATAATTGTGAGCATAGCAGGAGAGAGTTTAGACAGATCTAGTAGACTAGTATAGATTTCTTCTAATGGAAGTGATGTATATATGTTCTCAAAGTTATAGCAGTTAATGTTTTGTCTGTCGATAGACTGAATGGTATTAATGAAATTCTGTTTAAAGCACTCGAGGGCTATCTGTCTAAGGGAAGAGATGTTTTCATTGAGGACTTTCTGAGGACATGGGGAAAAACCACGAAAATGCCCATGCAGCCAGCCCGTTATCCTCGGACCGACGAACTTACCACTCGGCCGTTTCAGCTTTAAAGCCAAACTAAGAAAGCAGGTTTTATACGACAGCGAATAATACTGTTCAGAATTCTTCTTCTGTGAATCAATCCTTGTTATCATCAATTTACATTTTTTCTTTCTCCCTTTCGATTTTGAAATGCATTAATATAACTGAATTCCTCATTTCTTAAATAATTGTTGATCTATATATTCATAAATATTTTTACTTTTAGGTTTTATTTATTTTTCTTCGCTGTACCAACAGCCTATCATAAAGCTCCAGCACTTCTAATTTTAAAATTTGAGTTCTGCTACTGAGTTCTTTCCTAGAATAGTTAAAACAATTTCTTAGACGTTACGAGTACCGCCAGTTTTCTGCGAAAGCAGCAGTTCCTGGAGTCAAGGGCGAAATGACGGTGTTATGCATGGCGATATAGCTATTCGTAATGGAATAACTCTTTATTGCTCTAGTTCTGTACCAAATAATTTGTAGAAAGTGAAACCTTTTATCTTATACATCGAAGAAGATTGAGAAATGCTGAGGAAAACGAATGATGAAAGTGACCGTAATTTAATTCTTTATTTCAGGCGTGAAACTAGCACGAAATTATTTTTTGCCCCTACATTGATTAGTATCCGATAAGTTACGATAGTTTCAATAGAGAGACATGGTGGTAAAGGCAGTATATGTCAGGTAAGTTTTGCATTAGTTTCTCTCATTGTTCGACGAAATTTAATGATAAAACTCTGGTGCAAAATGCGTTGGTACCATTCTTTTAAAAACTGGGAATCGGAACACGTTTTATAACGCTTAAAAGTGAAAGTAAACGAGTTGTATTTCCGCTCCATTTAACATGACTCGACAACAATATTGTGAATGGTGACAGCCTTGAATTTGGTACTACTGGCGCCATCTAGTGTATATTTTTAAAAAATTTTTTTCGGAAAGGTGCAATTATATTAAAACAAAAATTAAACCGTACCTCGATTATTAAATTATAGGCTGCCGAAGCTGAACAATTAAATGTAGGCAAATTATTAATGTCTGTCTATGGAAATTTGTAGGAAAATAGAAAAATATTTAATGATATTAATCGACAGCTGAGTTTTTGTTACATATTATGCAGCAAACCTTCCTGAGATGTAATTTTAAAAATCTGATGTGTACACCACATGACTTCCTTGTACGGAATATTAAATCATACGCATTTTTTCTTGCATTTCATTTAAACTTATTGGATTGAATTAAATCTACTTCACCGACAGCGCATAAACCACAATAGAATAAATGCATTCTTTAAAATTCACTCTAGTATTTGTTTATCATAGCAACACTCTGGCGCTAGATTCACTTAACAGTATTATATTTCGCTCATATTATAACTCATAATGCACAAAATTTATATCATTTAAAGAATAGAATTATCTAATCGTTGCCACATATTCTATTCAAATACTATAATCAAGCTCGGATGATGTATAAAATAAATTAAGCAAACAAAACAAAAAAGAAACAGTTTTTCACAGACGATTGAGTATTTCTCATTCAATTAATTCAGTTAATTAATTTTGTTGTTATTTTTTCGGTGCCATTTAACTTATTGGCCAATAAACAGTACGTATTTTCAGACTTCAAAAATATAATTATTTAAAGTAAACTATTCCATATTATCTGGTATTTTATGTATATTTGTATATTTAAATCATATTAATCATTTTTAAAATGCACAGCACACTCCTTGAAGATAAAGGAATAAATGTATTATTTTAAAAGTAGATACTTAATGTTTTAAACACAGCATTAATTAGTAATACTTCAAATATATATAAAGCAATTTTCATATGTGCTTATATTAATTATCATGTAAATTACAGCAAAGTAAAACGTTTGGGTAGTAAGAGTAATCTATGGATGACGATTTTACAATTAACTTTGCAAATTGTTCTAAAAATGCATATGCAACATTTACATAAATATAAATTCTGAATTAATTTATACTTTTGTTTGTTTGTTTGATTAGTATAAAATATTGAATTGTTTTTTTTTCTTTTGCAGCTTCTACAGAGTTTTCTTGATTTTTATATCGTACAACAATATGATATTTGCGAATGCTTTGAAAACAGGTATAGCAGTTTTTATCTACTTTTCTTATTTCTAGGAAATTTTTAAAAGAATTTTTTTTTTTTTTTTTTTTTTTATCTTTAGCAAGTGAATGCAGCTAAAACTTAGAAATGAATTGTATTCGAAAGTCTTTCGAAGCTAATTAAGAATAAATAAATAAGGAATCAAAATATTCTTTTGAATAAAAATAATTAGTCTTATTTGAGCATTTTAAATAAACGTATCATTTAACACAATCTCCACTTTACAAAACAGAATCTGGAGACTTCTCATTTAAGTATCTTTTGCATTAGAGTATTGTTTATATATTTTGCTATTTTCGTGGCTCTCAAATCATTTATGTTCATAAATATATTTATATAGGTAAAAAATATGTAAATCAGCTTTATAATTTGATTTAGCAATAGCCTTTTAATTCCTGTTTTTTAATTTGGGTATTTCCGCTCCGCATTCTAAAAATAGTAATAACTATTTTGGACTGCGTCATTTCCAGATCACTCTATGTCACATGGCTTGCATCTGATGCCATAGCTAATTCGGAACTTGAACTAAAAATTTCGAGAGCTCAAACCTTTCTCTTAATAAGCAACCTAAACCCAAACCTTCTATTGGTCAGCTTCCATACTGGATAACTGAGCACTTTTGCTTCTACTTCTCTTGCCGATAAGACGCTGCCTCACTCCTTTCTTCCTATCGCAATATATTCAAAAATGCAAATATTCTGGAAATAGGCAGGATTAGGATGCCAAGGGAATTGTGGCCACATATGTCAGCTAAAATAAAAATGAATATTTAATCTTCCTCGTTGTTTGAGTTTGTTGATCATGCCAAGTTTGCCGTTCATTACGGATTCAACATTCTGCATTCTATGCCATCAACATTGTAACGTTCTTCTTCATCACATATGTGTTTGTGTGTTTAGAAGATCCAGCTTTAGCTTGGTGTGCAGCCGTCATTAGGCGTCCTAATTTTAATTCAGAGCATTTGGTGTGCAGCATAATCATTGTGTCATTAGCTAGTGAGGTTGGAAGGTTGATTACTGCTGCTCCAGCGCTACTTTTGTATCCTTGGTGGTAATGCTTGGTGGTAACCGCCTTGATTGATATAGTTGTTAGCGATGCTGGCTACCATATCGTTATGCCCGTACCGTACCGTATCGTGTCTGTGTGGCATGGCGCTCTCTAAATATTGTCGAGCCGCAAGTCCTCTCAAGCGGTTTAGTGAAAGCGTAAACAGAGTCGAGTGGCCCTTCCATCCGTCTTTCGGAATGTTCTGCATTAAAATTGGGGCGGAGCTGCATAAATAGTACAGAGGGACTAAACATGCATGGCCAGTGGGAAAGTTCTCGTGTTCCACTCACTTCTACTTGCAATAGTCTGCGATGTAGAAATCGAAATTGTATCTTCCGCCAAGCTACATGCACTCCAGCCTGAATTTCCGATATTTGTTTTCCTGGTATGAGCATTTGTGGTATGAGCACAGATCAATCACCAAGCCGTTCCATAAAGTTCTCTTTCAGCGTTTGTAGTAGGATACTGCAAGATGGTATTGGTAATAATAATAATAATATTATTATTATTATTATTATCCTGCCTCGCCTCTCATTGGGCACTACAGGTCATTCGTTATTAATTAATTACAAAGCAAATTACATTTATAAATACAATTTGATGTTGGTTTTTCCAACTTACATTGAATAGTTATATTAGTGAAAACAAGTTTGATTAGTAATTTGAATATATATATGAAAAAGTGAGTTATTTACATATTTATATAAGGCATGTTGCCTTTTACATATCGTCAGGTTTTAACCTGGTATGACTTGTATGATGGTCTTGTTTGTCATTGACGAAGCTGACAATCTGTCTTACTTCCTGGAGACCGTAGAAATCCGTTAGGTAACCTCTGAGACCTTTACTATGGAGTAGGGCGGTGTTGGCTGGAGATCTAAGCGACTTGGTAAGTGGGCATGAAGTGATGTAATGGACGGCATCTGCTGTGCTGGCGGGTGATCCACAACTGCACTTGACGTGTAAATGTAGAAACCTCTCTAAATATTGGGGGAACCTTCCATGATTGGAAAGGGCCTGAACCGTGTAGTGGTTCGAGTAAACTCTTGACAGCCTGACGATCGGAAAGATTGCGAAGGTATATGGTATTGGTAATGACAATTCAATTCATACTGTGTGTAGCTATGGACCCTGTGCCCTTGATGTGTTTGATCATTGCATTAGTGGACTACAGCCGTAGTGCAAGCGTATCTAATTTGTCCTTTGTTACGTCGCGGGAATGGGTGGAATTTTGCCATCCTGGTTGGGTGTGGCGTGTCACGTCGCTTGACATCCAGGTGTGCAGAGGTTAATATCTTTATCACATTAGTAGTCTCAGTATGAGAAACTCGTCTTTAGCTCGCTTTATTGCCGGCTTCCCATAACACCATCTCTTAATAAGCTTGCTAATTGCTGTGCCATTTTTGCTTCAGTATCTTTGAAGGAGGTAATTGACCATTGAAGGTCAAACCGGAGTCTGCAGCTTAAAAAATCAAAAATCGTGCCAAGACAAAAGTGAACTTTAGCCTGTGCTGCCCATATCTAGATCTCTTTCCTGACGTGAGTACTGACTGATCACCAAGTCACTTCATATTTTTAAATATTAGTTCTACATGTACTCTCGTTTATCGTACTGAATCATTTGTGAATAATTCACTTTACTTTATAATACAGTTCTATATTTGAGTGTATCAGAGTCACATCGTGTTCAATTTATAATAATATTATTTAAAAATATTTATGAAATTTTCAGCTATATTTTATCTTTTATATTTTTCTCTGAAATTAAAATTTTTTCTGATGTAATAGTGCAATTTTAATGGAATCAATACCGAAAATCAGGTTTTTGTCACTAATATGGTAGCGGTTCACATAATCTATAGGCATGTGCAGACATTAGATTTAAAGAAACGTGAAACTTTTTAAAATATCTCAGACTTTGGTAATAGTATCTAAGGAAGACCAAGGAAAAAACTCTATCTCAAATGAATCTTACAACTTGATTTGTGAGCCTCGTGCGATACTTTGTGTTGCACAAGGATTTCTTTTTTTTTTTTTTTTTTCTTTTTTTCTTTCTTTCTTTCTTTTTTTTTTTTTTAATTAAAAAAAAATCAATCTGAATGGACATACTTTGCGAACAGCAGCAACTAATCAAAAATTGCATTTAGCATTCGTAGATGCAATATTATATTTTACACAGGTTTACATAGAGTTCCTGGAGTGTTCCACTGCTCTGGAACACCGGAGTGTATGGATTGTTAAAGAATGTCCAAATGGTGTAAGAATGTTATGTTATGCTTATGACATTTTATATGTAATTCATGAAAACTCTTTCGAGGAATTAGAAAAACTTTTTTCATTTGCTGTAGGAAATCTAACAATGTGGATTGAAAAAGAAAAGCTGAGATTGAATTAACTGATTTCTTATTTTACCCAAAGGGTGGGAAAAAAAGTAGACCAAAGCAACTAAAATATGAAGATATTAGAATTAAATGTGTTGAAAACTTTAAATATATTGGTGTTTTCTTATTGTAAATAGTATTTTAAAGATCATTTTAATAATATTTATGAAAGAACTAACTCTATTCTGGTGTATTTTAAAAGAAATTTCTCATCTGAGTTATTAGCACTGAAAAGTAACATTATTAGATTAATTTACAAAACATCTATTATTCTCATTATAGTATATGATATTAAGATCATAGGAACTTGTAGTAAAGGGCGAAATGAAAACTCAGCTCTTGATATACCCTTACAAGAAGTATCTATATATAGTATGGTGTTAAATCTCATTTTTTTTTTTTTTTTTTTTTTTTTTTTTTTTTTGTAACCAGCATGCTATTGCCATGTTAGCTGACAGTCTGCCAAAGCAGATTTTCGTCCATACCATATTCTACGATAATTAGTTTTTGGTCTATTCCAGGATATATACAGCGTTTTCTCTCATATTAGTGACTGTTTTAATCGAGTGACATTTAGAGCTCTCGTGAGATTTTGACGTCACGAAAACAAATGCTAGGAGAAGGTCCATACACTTGAAGGCCTCCTTTATACACAAATAGGGTACTTTTCTGTTATCGGGGCAGGATTCAGAAATATGTATGTATGAATGTGCGTATATGTGTGAGTATGTATAAACGCACATACATACGTACGTACATGTATGCATGCATACATGAATACATTTCTAGATCCGGTCCCGATAACAGAAAAGTACCAAAATTGTACTAATTTCTTTCTGATAAAAACAATGTTTTTTAATTTATAAGCATTTAATCCGTCTATTTCATTTAGCCCTGTATAGTTACTTATCTCTGTATCTCAGTTTTTGGCGTCATCTTATTCTTTGTTACATTTACATACTTCTTGACGAGGCTGACTTGAAACTGAAGAGCAACGGATAGCAAACGGCAAATGTAAAAAAACTAGCTCATTAAGCTAAAATTTTGCATAATAACAATTTTCTTCTCCTTTCTTTCATTTATTTGTTCATTTTCTTTTAATTTATTTCTTTTTCCATAACAAATAGATTAATTGTATATGTAAGCGAAGTAAATACAATTTTCGTTTCCATTTTTCTTCTGTAAGAGAGCCTGCTATTCTGAAACCTTTTTTTACTTTTTTTTTTTCACATTTAGATCCTATGTGTAGTGAAGTGGAGATAGTGAGCAGATCAGAATGGAAAGCTAGACCTGAAGTCCGACATCGTCATATGAATTTGCCTTTGAACCACATCATTATCCTCCACACTGTAACAACTGTATGTAAAACTAAATTTCAATGCATTCGAAAAATTCAGCGTATGCAGGAGATGCATCTAGATGAAAGAGGTAAATAACATATTTTTAACGCACTAATATCTAAATATTATAACAGTTAATTAACCATGAAATATTAGTAATTACAGTCATCCCTCAGTTATCGCGGTTAGTAGGGACCAGAACCGGCTGTGATAAGTGAAAAATTGTGAAGTAGTGTTGTAGAGTCATTAGGTTGATTGGAAGCAGAAAAGATAAAAAATATGCAACGGCCTTCGCCGGGAATCAAACCACGGACCTCTGGAATACTGGCCCAGCGTGCTACCGTTACACCACGAAGGCACGCTAGGGAAGTGGGAGAAGTACCTTATAGTGTAACCTTCTCATTTTTAACATACGTAATTTTTTTTGAATGTATAATATCAGTAAGTGTATATGAAACCATATAAGTGCATATGTTATAAAAAGAACATTAAAAAATAGTTTCAAACATGTAAATAAAATATTAATAGTATAAATAATATACATAAAATAATGTATAAAAAACATAAATATGATACGTATGTGTGTGTAACATACGTAGATGTAACTAAAGTGTACATACTGTAAATATGTTTTTAGAACTCTTTTATTCTTATAACAAGGTACGTAACTCACCTCTGACAATAGCTTCTCTTCGCTTGATCTTTATAAATGTCGATGAAACACCTATGCAGTACGATGGACGTGAAGAAGATGAAGATGAATTACTGCACAGGTTAATGAGAGCTTTACTGCTCCTCAGATGACGCCTCATCGTCAGATACTAGGGGCTCTGGATCGTCGCGGGCAGCTTCGGATAGAGCTGGAGTAGTTGCAGGAGGCGGCGTAGAAGCAGCAGGAGGAGCTTCTGCAGAACGTTTTCGGCGCACAAGAGACATCGTGGAGTTGTGACCGCTGTTTTTTCTTCTGAGCAAAGAAGCCCTTCTACAACGCCATTACACCGTCAATACGATTGCTAAATTATACGGCTCTGACCATGTTGTCGTCGATTTCTTGGGCCCTTTGTTGCAGAGCTCTTGCAAGTTTTCCAAGGTAAGGCCACATTTTTCAGCTTCGTTGTCGTCACCGTCATCAGTTACCTCCTCTTCTTCCTCATTCGCCAATCTTGTCATTTCGACGAGTTTCTCGTCGGTTAGGGGGTTCGAGTGGCACTCGATCAGTGCGTTCACTTCTTCCATCGTCATGTCGAAGAATCTTTCAGTGGCTACCAACCGAGCCAGTCTCACAGCCTTATTTACGGCGAAGTTGTCCCTGTCTTCTGCTGGCGTGCGGGCAACTTTCGAGCCACAATTCCTCAATTTTGATTTTTTTTTATGAATATTTTTGAACAATCCGCGATGCATTGAGGCCGCGATAAATGAATCGCGAAGTAGCGAGGGATAACTGTACTACTATATTGTTACGTAAGATTCTTTTCCTTTACGTTCGTACGTTACGAGGTACGTGCGGATTTGGACTGAATAACGACGACACTTGATGAAGTATCGAAACACACTTTATTTAGCCAATATTAATCAGGACAGCTCCAAAGTCATGTTTACAGTCGTCGAAGATCTACTATAAACCTTCTGGAACAATCAGCAGCACAACCTTCAGACTATCAGGCTATCACGGTGAAGACAGCTTCACTGCAAAGCACCGGAGTACAGCTCCCGACTCTGATTCTTCATATGCCTCTTTTATGGCTCCAGTTTCTTCTGCAAGCTCCACTTTCATCTGTGGAAGTTGCTCTCGCAGCTTTTCTCAGCCGGCTTTCATCTCTTCTCGTCCGGTCTTCATCTCTTCCGGTCCGGCTTTCACCTCAGCCGTCATCTCTTGATATCCGGATTTTATCTCATCATATCCGGCTTTTATCTCGACATATCCGGCTTTTAACTCTTTCAGTTTGGCTTTCATCTCTTCCTGTCCGCCTTTCATTTCAGCTTTCATCTCTTTCTGTCAGGCTTTTATATCTTTCAGTTCGTCTTTGAACTCGGCTAAAAAGTCCATCAAAGTCTTCGTTTCCTTCTGCCATGGCTTTTCTCTGCAGGCGGATCACTGGCATTCACTCGCAAATCGCACTTCTGACACCAGTTGTTACGTTTACGCGTTCGTGTGGATTTGGAGTGAATAACGACGACAGCACTTGATGGAAAATCGAAACACATTTTATTTAGCCAATATTAATCAGGACTGCTCAAAAGTCACGTTTTACAGTCGCCGAAAATCTACTATACACTCGCTGGAACAATCAGCGACACAGCCTTCAAGTTATCAGGTTATCACGGTGAAGATAGCTTCACGGCAAAGCACCAAAGTACAGCTCCCGACTCCGCTCGGTTGTTCTCGAAGCGTGGTTTCTCCACGTTTCAACTCGCGATGCACTCGACGACACACAGAGCACAGCTCCCGACTCTTCTGTTCAGTCGTTCCTTAAGCTCAACACTCTCTCTCGACGATGCACTAACCGTGATACACTAAGAGACTCTTTCGATGCATTCGACGACCCACTCGGCACTCGCTGCCCTGCTGTCAAATCGATCGACTCCTCACGGACTGACTAACTCGAGACTAAGTCTCCGCGTACTAAGTCTAACTAAGTCTCCGCGTACCAGTAGGGTTTATACAGTTTTTGGCTTGCGTTCAAGAACATTCTGGGCTAAACCGGTAAGAATTCGTTCCAGAAGGTTCTCCATCCGTCCATAGCATATCGCCAATTTTCTCGCTAAATGTGGCAACCCTCCCTTCCCTTGCCATTTTATGGCATTTCTAAACCTACTTTGCGGGGAAACTATGATTGCTATGAAGCTATGATGCCTGGACGCATATAAGCATTCTGGACCGCGCAACGCGCATAGGGAAAATCCGTACTTGTGTTTGGACATATTTTCAGATGACATCATTTTCTCTTGGCATAATGACGTTTCGGCAGGATTGTTAGTTTTGTTTTCGTTGACGCGCATTAGTAAAATCCAAGCGTGAATATTATCGTTTGTTTCCTTTGAAAAGGAAAAATTTAGCAGCAGAGTTCTGCAGATGGCTTACTGTTTCATGGAATAATAAAATCATAAAATCTTTCAAAGATACCTTTAAATATCAGAAGCAATCTTATACGCTTAGATTATATAAATGGTTTGAGTTCATAAATTTAGTACAAAAACCAAAACACGACGATCTTCATCCAACTGTAAAGGCATTGTGTCCTAGTATGTATATTATTATTATTGCAGTTTTTGTTGCATTCTGTTTCCTTAAAATTGTAGAAAATATTTCCTTTGTAAATGTTATGTTATTTCCATGTTAATGTCCGTGCATTCTAATATCCTGTTGCCTTAAATGAAAGAAAAGTGCATTCAGTATCGTCGCTGCATCTAATTCACGTGTATAAGAAAAGAAACTTCCTTCTCTGACAAACCCTATTTTGTGCAAAGGTAAAAAAGATGTTGCACATTAAAAAATGGGCATTATTCATAAAGTAACATATTCAATTTAAAATACGTATCTCTAATTTCTCTATTACAAATCTATATTAGTCTAATTTTTAAAAAAATTTCACTTTTCAGACTGATTATAAATATTGGGAATTTACTGTGTACTATGTTAGCTCCCAACGTCGTTTTTGCCATTTCCGAAAACTGCCTTGACTCATGCTTTCGGAGATTGCATGTACAGAAAATGGATATGTAATGAATATGAAATAATGAATTAATAATCACAACATCTTTAATATGAAGGCGTTTTAAATAAAGAATACATTTATTAAAATCTCTGCACTTAACACATTTAATGTAATCACATAGCAAAAAAAGGGGAGGAATACAACGCACGTAATAATCTTTTCGCTACTGTTATCAAAATGCAAACAGACGATATAGAGGTGCACTCTCTTGCCCAAGCAAAGTCAAGGAGTTCCTAAACGTAGAGGAAATGATGTCATCGGAAGCTATAGCCAATCACAAGGAGGAATTTTTCCCTATGTGCGTGGCGCGGTACAGAATGCTTATATGCCGCCTGGACATTTCGTAACAATATATACAGTGGTGGCCAAAATTGTGGACACTTTTGGACATTTTTATGTTTTTGAACTTTGTATGCGTATAGAAAATGTTACGTTTCGCAAAATGCAAACTTGTATATATCATTTTAAAAAAAAATTATTACTGAATTCAATACAAAACACAAAATTTAATTATTTGCAATACAAAAACAGTTATATGTATTTTAATTTAAATAAAAAACACAGTTATGAAGTGGTTTGTAATGTCTAGCTTTCCTGGCCAATCACTGTTCTTGTTCTGAGAACCAATCAAATGTTAGTAACTGCCAGTAGAAGCTGACATCATGTTTACACTTGAAACAATTCATTATTTTGCTTTGTTCTGTAGAAGGAAAACCTGTTTCTTATACACTGCAATTACAAGTAGGAATTTTTGTAAAACTTTTAATATTTAGTCAAGAAGCATATAACATCAAATAAAAGAGTAGATTGGACACCTAGAAAGAGATGTAATATTATTGTGTTACGAGAAAGTGGTCTTTCCTATGCTGAAATTGCAAGACAGGTGGGTGGTTCAGTGACTACATCTGGAGTGCGAAAGTTTTGTTTACGATATCAAGAGACAAATTCAATAAAAAACAAAGAAGGAAAAGGCCGAAAAAGGTGCACCACATCTATTGATGACAGAAGAATAAAAAGACTATGTCTCCAAGATAGAAAAATGTCATCAGCAGCATCAAAAGTGATTTGAATGATGCTGGTGTTTCTGTCAGTTCAAGAACAATCAGAAGAAAATTAACAGATGTTGGACTGAGAGGTAGAATTCCACGAAAAAAGCCTTATCTTAATTTTCAGCAACGAAAAAAAAAAAAAAAAAAAAAAAAAAAAAGACTACAGTGGGCAAAGGAACACATTAATTGGGCAGCTGATCAGTGGTCACAAGTTATATGGTGTGATGAAACTAAGATATCGTTATTCGATAGTGATGGGCGAAAATATGTAAGACGTAGATTAGGAGAAGAGCTACATCCTGACTGCATTCAAGCAACTGTGT